CCATTGGAACAACAGAATGGAGGAAGAAGGGAGCTTCACCATATCTATTTGAACCAAAACCACCAGAGGCTCTGGTGGAAGGGTCTCTGCATTGGGCTCTTCCAAGCCTGGGCTACCCCTGCATCATCTCCTTTGAGTTGGTTGAGGAAGCTTCTCAGAAAATCCCACTGCCTTGTACTAGATTTTACTTTACATGTTATAATCTTTGTGTGCTTAATTGGTGTCTACCCGTTGCTGGATTCATCCAAGGCAGCCAATTGGACATCTGGGTGATGAAGGAATACAATGTGAAGGAATCTTGGGTGAAAGAATTCTGTAGTACAACAAATTATGTTCCTTTGTGCTTCTATGATGAGCAGAATAATGCTCCTCTAGGAATGTTAATTCAAGATCTTGCTTCGAGCTGGGTGGGAAGATGCATGCGTAAGGTTTTATGTGTCTTGAAGAACGGTGAGATTGTGTTGGAGTGTAACAAGAAAGCTCTGGTTTCTTATGATCCTAAAACTAACAGGTTCAAGGCTCTAAAGATCAACCGTTTGCCGCAGCAGTTCCAAACCTTTGTTTTCCAACCTACACTGTTCTCAGCAAAGGAAACCGTTGAATTGAAATGAAGCTTTAACCTTCACTACTCGTATATAATTTCCTCTGTTTAAGTGAGGCTTCTGTTGGATATTAATATAGTCGAAGATGGATTAGAGGCTGCAGGCAGGAATGCAGTTGAAGTTGTCACTCGAGGCAAGCAGAATACTGGATTAATTTCAGGTTTTCCACTACAATATTGTTCTTCTGCTAGATGAAGTAATTGTCATATAACTATTTATAGTTGGATATTGACTATTTTCTATATTTGAACTACTAGTTCTAGGCCTCATTGATAGAATAATGTCAAAAAATTGTTGTATATTTTAGCCTTTATTTATATATTTTGGACTGATTGTAATGTATAATATTTATTATTAAATAAATGATGAGACCTTTGATCTTAGGAGTTTTCTCTTCATCAAATAATTCACGTATAATAATTTATGTTTTATAGTTTTAGTGCTATTTGGACTACAATTGAGAGCTCTTATATAAATTCTAAAAAAGAAACTTGATGCACATTTCTTTTCTTTTCTTTTTCATTTTTCTGTAGTTCATATGAAATTAACTTATTATATAATACTCTTTTTGTTTAATTTTAGTAAAATTAGGTTTAGTTCGATGACATTGGCATATAGCTATAATTGAAGAATTTTTTGGTCCT